TAAAAAAATATATTTTTTAAATTTTTAACAAAAATATTAAAAATGAAATAATTGTAGTTCTTAACCCTGTGAATCTTATTACAAACCCAGAATTTTGATATATCTATAATTTCGAGAGATATCATAATGGGTAAATCCTCGCGGGACACCTGTATATATATTTTTAAATGATAAGTCAAAGTAGTTAATACAGAAGTCAACAGTAGTGTATTTGAAAAAAAAATGTAACTTGTTAAAATAGTGATATACCTATGAACTAAAAGAATCATTATGTGTAAATTAAATTGTAAAATAAGTATTATGGGAAAAAAAATATGGTCAAGTTACCAATGGTGACATTAGAAGATAATTATTAATTTTGTGGGAGGGGTATGTGATTTTACATCTGACAATAATGTACAACACAGTGTATTCTCATTTRAAAAAGAGTATAGGCTAATAATAATTATAATATTCAAGTTAAAAACAGAATACCTACTTAACAAACAACTTTTCAAATTATTATATTTGGTAGTTTAAAAATAAGTATAATATTATAAATGTATTACCTTGTGCTCTATATTGGTTTGCTGAGTTTTGTCTAAATGAACTTTCATAATTTGTTTCCCATCTAATTTAACTCTGATACGTTTGCCAACAATTTCAGCTGGATAGACTAAATCATCAAGGATTGCATCGTAAACCCAAGTTAAAGTTCGGCTGAAATAAATTGATAAATTGTAAATACTCCAACAAAACAAATATTAAATTTAACAATTACCTAATACTATTATAATATTGTTATGTTAACATAATAATAATAATACATTTTGTATTAAAATTTTTAACATACGAATTGAAAACATATTTTAATTTATGTCCGCTTAGACGCTATATGTATCAATTAAATATACATTAGTAACACGCAGACTAAAATACATATTAATATTTTGATGTCAAATATACCTTCTTGGACGCTTTTGATTGCTCTTTGTTCTTGTTTTCCTAGTTGGTTTTGGCAATATTCTTCGATCACCAATGAATACAACATGCTTGCCACTGAACTTTTTCTCTAGTTCTCTAACTAAACGAGCTTGAATTTTTTGGAATTGAGCTCGCTGTGGCATAGGCACATAGATAATGACACTCTAAAAAAATTTAAGAATGTTGAGAAATAACGAAGTTATTATCATTCTAAAATTTAGTATAATAGAAATAAAATGTGTGGTTATAATAGATCAAGACTATAGTACATAAAAATACTACAGATATCAAAGACCAATACTTTAATATGGCACCAGTGTGGACCATTGTGAACGAAAACAAGGACACAACGAATTTGATGATGCGTAAAAAAATAGGCAACTGCACATTATGTGACATATTACTATATTAACGTCCATTAAAACAATAATACTATTGATTTTAAAATAGAGATGCGCCATAGCATAGAAATGTTCAGTGACCAACAAATATGTTATTAGCCGTTAGATTAGACAAATGTTTCCATTAAGCGCAATAGGCATAAAATTTCTTTTAAAAATATTAATAAAATAAACACAATATTTATCTTGATTAAAAAAAGATCGATAAAGACAACAAATCTGACAATCATCAGACTTATAAGATTATACATTATCATAATAGATCAGTGAAGCCTTACATATTAAATATTGTGAAAATACAGGTAAAAATAGAGATATTTCATTATATTAACCATTGAGTATCCTAGTTTTTTTTATATTATAAGTTTAAGTTAACCTCACACCTTACTAACTTTATAGAAACACATTGATAGGGYTAAATTCATAACTTGGTAGTTACGTAGATAAAATGTAAAAAACTATTTCAGGAAAATTAAACTTACACAAAATTATAAAATAGATATTTTAACAGTTGAATATTCAAACACATGGTCAGATCCAGGGTTATGTAAAATCAACAGTTTCAATTAGCTCCTCAACTATTTTTTTTCATTCAGTACATTATTTCCTATGACTGGCCAACTTGAGCCGGTAGCATCGTAAAATTGTAGGCTTCATGGTGTGGCAGCGCCTCGACCTTTGCGTTTGTTCTGCAAGTAAATACAATTTAGAAAACAAGCTATACAGTATTGGCAAAACGCAAAAATCTAAACGCTGCCAAAAAACAAAAATTGCACCAATAGGYGAAGGAAGAAATTTAATTTRAAGACCGGACATATTAACAATCTTTGATTACGAGGATGGCAAATAAATGTTGCTATATGTAGGTACAAAAATTAAGAAATATTATAACGAGTGGAAAAAGTTGATAGGTACCTACTAACTTATATCATAAAATATATTATGCCGAGTATAATTAAAAATTTAATTGTCATTGATGTTGATGAGAAAGAAAAGATTTGTTAGAGATAATAAAATAAATATCGGGTAACATAAAAACGGAAAATTGAATATTTTTACCACAGCACTCCAATAAGTACCTTCGACCAATACTGTGTGGTCGGTAGCTTACCTTCTTGCCGAACAGCTCAATCTCCTTGGCTTTGGTGATGTACAGCTCACGAAGTTGGGCCTTTAAGTCGCTGTTGTTCTGCAACTCAAGCAGGGCCTGGGCGATGGACAGCTCAAACTGATCAGGCTCCGAGTTTCCTTTCTTGACGATTTTGGATTGCGCGGGAACAGGCATCTATATAGACACAAGTTGGCGTGTTAATATAAAAATATTTCATCCAAWTGAATCAGACGATCAACTGGCCTGAAAGGGTAGCGCCATGGCCAAGACCGCGGAGCGCTCACCGAAATGATAGAATTACGTACCTTGTTWGTGATTTCCGAGTGCTGATCCGACGACTGGATAAATAAAGGCGAAAACGCAACCAAAAATTATGTAGAAGTGTTAACACAGTAACACTAAAAAGTAAATTGCGAATGGCGGCTACAAATTTGTTCTTGGCGATGGTGAGACCGTGTGTTACGTGTCTATCCCCTCCACAATATCTCAATTAACGCTTGTAGGTTGTGTTTTTTTACGTGGTTTGGACTTTTAGAGTTTCGGACGACTGTCGCCGGTACGATACAACAGTGTGCACAAACGCACGGCGAGTCACATCCTCTCTTCTACGACGGTTGTACATGCTGTAAAAATCTGGGACGGCATTTTTGGCCTGGCATTTTCCCCCCATATTTAATAGATTTGAAATTATTTTATTTTCTCATGTCGAATTTTGTAAGTTTGTAACCTCAATTGAGCAAAACACAATTTAGTTATAAGCTACGTGTATGTAAGTGTGCTAACTACAACATACAAATTAAAAACTAAATTTCTTAATAGCATTTTTATTTGGGTAGTCTTGCGAATACTGCTGAGCGACAAATGAATAATAATTATTTAATATGTTTAAATTATGTTATAAAAATAATTAAAAATTAAAAGATTTGAAGCTATTTAAAAGTTGTTGAAATATTTACAGTATATTTTGGATAAATATTGATAAAGAATATCGTCTATAAAAACTTGATTATATAATACAATCTTTCAATGTTAATAAAAGTTAAAATGGTTCGTTCGATTAAGACAGTTATTTGATTAATAAATCAACATTGTTAGTAAAKTATTGTCTATTGACCTCAATTATTATTGTTTTTTAATGTTGTCCAGAGTCTGCTGATTTCACCAGAACATTATAAAAATAAAGCATTCGAGATCAAGGTATTACAGACCCTGTGGCCCCTAAAACTGCCATAAAACTTAATTAATTCAAAAACTATAGTTAGCATTATCTGAATACTTATTAAAGAAATTAAGAAAGTATAACTAAGACTTATAAATATATTTCAATGACTTATAAAAAATACATTTAATTTTATATGCTTAGTAATAATTGTTATACTATTATTCTCAAGCTTCATAAAGCACTCAAAAAATATAATATTAAAAAAGTAGGTACCAACATACTCATATCTCCTTCTAAAATGAATAATTCATCAGCAATAATTAAGTAGGTACCTAACCTGTTAATTAATTATTAGAATTACTTAGCATAAAAGTTTTTAAATAATAATTATTTATTATTATTCATTATAGAATAAAGTTATTTGATTTTAGAATATCCAGCATTAGTCAATCAACTACTGGAATTCATGGTACAAAGGTAGTTATTATACTTACTTTACATGCTCTAAAACAATCCCACCACTTAGGCTAGATACAATAACGTCAATAACTAGTAAATATGTCGTTCCATAATTATTTATAAATTTAAATTAATAAGTATATTTTTATACATTTAGGTTAGGTAATGTTAATCATGAAGGCGCATAGTATTTGTTATGAAGGATTTTGGTGTTTATAGATTCTCATTGTGTTCTCTAGATAAATTAATAATTAAGAATTTGATAAAAATTACAATTCAGGAAATTTCCACATGTTACAACTATTCTGTGATATTATTGTATCGCATTACATAGGTTTAATATACCTAATTCAGAATTTACTAGAATAATAATTTATACATGATATCAAGAACAATAATATTTATATATTAGGTATTTATTTTAATATTCTTGAAGATATACAAATGTATGAGGAAAAGAATCATTTGTGATGCATGACTACATTTTAATATCAAGTTTTTTTTTTATATACCTAATTCCTTATAAAGAAATTTCTCAAAATTTATTTAGTAAGTGAATTTTTTTTTTACTTTTAATAATTACTTTTTGCATGCAGGTATGTATTTGGTATTTCACATTAATAATAATAATATATTATTAACATATATTATTGTAAAAGAACTAAATGATTTAAGTACCTAGCACTAAGATTCTAAAATTCTTCAAATATGCAAAAAATAGCAAAATAAAATTTCATATTTAGAGTCCGTGGTGCATTAAACAAATTTACAGCCCACTCTGCTATTTTTATCTCTATCCTATAATAAATAGCAAATGCTATAAAATCCGAACCCTGCAGCTTATAAAGGTTTAAGGTATTTTATAATAGTTTTAAATTTCTGAGAATACGACAAAATAGTTGATACCATGTATAGCTATGTCATCGATGAATGCGGAACATTTCTAAAATCTCTAAGACGTTATAACTATTTATAATTACTTATTATGTAATAATAATACCTATAAATTATAATAGTATAAACCTATGGCAACAGCCAGTTTAATATATTCTGTTGGGGTCAATGAATAATTTCRTAAAAATCAATAGGTATCTATACTAAGTTCCAGTTCAGAAAAGCGGAGATGATGCGTAATAAATGCGTTATAGCGTTTGTAATAACCGGACAAACTGAAATTTCACTATAGAAGAAACAATATTTTTGTAAGTTTTTATATTCTTTTGTTGCAAATGATTTAATTTAATATATATTTTTCGAAACGGACAAGCGTCGCGGACACACAATTTTTATAGGTACCGAAGCGCGCAATGCATAAAATACGCGAAGCAACTGTAAACAGTAGYTYGGCAGTTGTCGAGTTACTTTTTAGTTTTTACACGGCCCACTCGTATTATTATTTATACTTTACGCATAAATATTTTTATTCTCAACAGACAGTTTTCATACAAACCCCAGCCCACAAAAAAAAAAATGCTTTAAGTAGTTAAATAAATCGTATACTCATGAAATATTGTAGGTGTTTTGATTTATGAACTTGAGGACTAGTTTGTATGGTTCAGTTTGGCATTTGACAACCATTTATTGTTTTATTATTATTTACTTATGACTCTTTATCAACGACCCACGTATCGAAAATAGTTAAAGCCTGTCAATAAAAAATTTGGGGAAACATGTCTGTATACACTTTTACTATAGTGATTTTCGCATTGATTAAATGAATTTTTTTATTTATTTTTTTGATTCATTGAATTAATGACCATCAATTGAACATTCAAATTTAATTTAATTTTAAATTCAATATTTATAAAATGTTCTTTCTATAATATAATAAGCCTTAAAAAAAATGCCCATAACAAATCATAAGGCGCAG